CCCCGGACCCCCCTAGAGGATGTGAATTCCACCCCCCAATTAAAACATGTTCAATGTTCATGCAATACTAAATAGTATACATTTGAAGCCTTTTTATATAAGCTGTCCACCATGTCAATATGTTTCTCTTTGTAGCTTTTGTAGAGGTTTTTCATTGCCAGCTAAAATCTTGCCTATAGGGCAGCAAATTGGTCAAAACCGGCCCTGGTGTCATCCCCACAGCACCCCCCATTTGAAACATGTTCCCACGGCTATGAAACCATATCTTAAACTCAAGTTAATCACAGAGTTTAAAGACTGTATTTTAGCACCACGAATCTCAAGTGTTGCACCTTTTCCACAGCAGGATCATCTATAGAGAGCAGCTGAACAGTGACGGGGGTATGGACTCTGATCTTCTCGTTGACGGCCTCTTCCAGGGCCTGCAGCTGGGCAGGCTTCACCGAGGGAGTGTCCAGCTCTATGGTGCTTCTCTGACGCCCCAGTTCCCTGTAAAAAACACAGAGAAAAAAGAGGTAGAACTACAAGCTTTTAACGTTACAAAGAAGTAATCTGTGCAGAGGTTATGTACCAGGACGTGGTCTTGTATCCAAACATGTTTTCTGCCAAAGCTGTGATCACATGTTGACCTGAGAGTAAGGAAGAAAACTAACTTAGAAAAGTGCAATAAAAATATATAATCAGTAATGCATTTTTATTTCAACCTGGCAAAGGGATTAACTCCAGTCTTGTGCTAGACAAAGACATTCTTAGAAAACAAACGCTTACAATCAATGAGTGGGTTTCATTTGAGTTTATCCACAAAGAATTATACAAAAGCACTACTTTTAATAAAAATGTTAACAGAGATGTGCTTCTGAATGTCTTGGAAATAAGTCATTCAGCGTGGGCAGCCTTTCGTTATTACCCACCATTATTACTTTGATGTTACTCACCTGAGTGTTGCTGCATGTGGTCAAACCTCCTCTCCCAGTCCACCTTCACCTGCACCTCCTGCCCCTCCTCCAGAGGAGAGCCCACAAAGTGCACGGCGTCGGCCCCCTGTCTCGTCACCCTCACCACCGGGACGTCTCCAATCAGACCGTGGTCATCTGGCTGAAGCAGGACAACACAAAGCATGGAAATTATCAAAAAGATATCATGTAAAATGGCTTTTTAGTGACTTTTATTGAACATTTATGATTTTGCAGTAAACACTGATAGAAGTACCTTGATGGAGACATTTAATTAGTATGATTTTATAGCTTACCTGTCCTCCTCCTTCAGGAAACAAGATGGTGTCTTGGAGTTTGATATTGAAGCCTTTAAGAGTTTCTTTCTTTCCATTGACTTCATGCTTGAGCTCAGCTGGGCAGCAGGACACTACAGAGGTAACAAACTAATAGAAAAGAAAAACGTATAGAATTCCATTTATTATTGTATAGTCTTTTTTATAAAACTAAATGGAGACTAAAAGCACCTGTGTGCATGTTAGGTATGAGACACTGGGTAATTTCTAAGGTAACGGAATGAAATTTGAAAACTCAATGCGTTTTGGTTAACAACATGACTGTAAGTGGCAAGCTAGAAATATACATAATGCAACTTTTCTTATAGGTTGTCACAGCATTATGTCAAATACCATACCTAATGTATGATTGTGTTGTGACAGTGCTAGTTCCTGAATCCACTGTAACGTTAGCTAGCCACCATATGCTAACCACTTCTGCAGAGCATGAATGTAAAAGGTGGTGTTTTGCAGACTGTAAATGAGTTACACGCTGATAAATTGTATTTCAAAAGTGCCATACCTCTTTCATATAGCAGTCTCGTTGACATTGAAAAGCCATGCTGGAGTGTTTTTGAGGAAAAACTCCACCTGAAACACGAGTAAGTTCAGTCAGCTACAGCTGTCAGCTCAGTAGGCCTACGGGTAGCAGCGTGGTCCAAACTCCATAAACCGCCTTTTACTGGCTTCGACTTTTACCTTTTTTTAATGACAATCTTTAATATATTCATCAAAATAGAGTAGACATATTTTTATAAATGTCGGGGTTGAAGACCTATTCATTTTCAGTACTCTCCCATTTTATTTCTAGGTGTTACCGGCAATGTGGGTACGTGTATTATAACAGCCTTAATAAAAAGACAATATATAAATTATGTTTCATGTGCTAGAATATGTGCATCATTACCTTTCACAAACAGTTTTTTAGAAGACTGAGATATGATAATAAGCATTTCAAATATGTTTGTTGAAATGAAATGCAACTTTAACATAACAATATAAACATAAGAAGGCATCTGTGTCAATGCTGAGGGTTCATTTGCAGGCTTTACCAAGAATGAAGAAATAATAAATGAAGCTGCTTTACTGTCATATTCTGGCAAACACACATTTTTCTCCAGTATTACGGCAGTGGCTCAGTAGGGGCTTGGACTGTGAGCCGTAGGGTCACCGGTTCAAGTCCCCGACCAGACCTAAATATGGAGTTTGGACTTCTACTTGGATAGGTCCCAGTTCACCTCCTGCCCTGCCGTGGTGCCCTTGAGCAAGGCACCGGACACCCCCCTTCCCCCCTAACTCCTGGTACTAGGATGGGTTAAAAGCAGAGAACACATTTCACTGTGTGCTGTGTGCTCTGCATGTGTGACCATTAAAGAAGGTTTCATCCCTCCCAATTCTAATTATATCTACTATTAACTTTAAATAAAGGCTATTACCCCATGCATCATATCATAATGAATTTTCAAACCATGGTTGATTCACTTGTTTTTATTCAAATTAACAACATGTCAGCAAACAGTGGACAATAATATTCCATTAAATAATCCCATAGAAAACATAAATTACATAAAAACAGTATTTTTGGAACAGTATATCAAATCATCCACAAACTTCAGCAAATAGCACTGTCTTCAGTGTCCTATCAAGTTACCGTGTCCTTCAACACAGGTGACGTTTACTCAGTCAGACTGTAGAGGAAGAGAGAAGAAAGTCAACATTAAAATGATTTTAAAAAAGAGGAATGCATTCACATTTATTTGTAGGAAAACCTTCCTAAACTACTTCACTTACATCAAGATCGTCCATATCTGGTGCTTCTCCTTTATTCTTGGAAGACATGTCTTTGATCATCTGAAAAGAAAAAGAGAAAACTCAAATCCTCACACAGGCACCTAAGAAAACTCTGAGAAAGACAATATAGAAAAGTTCATTGAATCAGAATTGAGTTGATCTACTGGACAAATGTCATTTACTCACATCCGCGTACACATCGAACTCTTCCTTTCCATCTTCTACTTCATTCTCCCAGTCCCTCCAGTTATCAAAGTCCACGGAAATCCAGCTGGGCTGCAAAAAAAGATGGAGAAACAACACACTTTAAAATGTTGCAGCTAACGTAGCAGCAGCTTGTTTCCAACTGTTCTTGGGGGGTGTCTGTAATTCATGCTGACTAACTCAGTATAGTGTAAATGTCTTAAGTCAAGGCAATGTTTCCTGTGTGTAAAAGCGTGTCGACCTCACGTTGTTTCACTTAATTCACTTGTTTTGTACATAGAACAGGAGAGGACTTTGATAATCAGTGAAAATGTTCAAATAAGAGGTCAAAAGAAACATCAGACATTGTTTTGATCTTACTCGTTATTAAAAATCCCCTTTTTCCCAATGTTTATCCCCCTTTTCCATTTAGAGTCAAAGAATAAAAGTGATGTTTCTCCATTTACTGATATAGTTGATAATCATCAATTATATACACACACACACACACACACACACACACACATGCACACACACACACACACATTCGGTCTATATGCTGTAAAATGTATTATCTCTTCGATTTACACACGGCATCTATTGCACGTCTGTCCATCCTGGCAGAGCGATCCCTCCTCAGTTGCTCTCCCTGAGGTTTCTCCCATTTTCCCCTTTAAACTGTGGGTTTTCTCTGGAAGTTTTTCCTTGTACGATGTGAGGTTCTAAGGACAGAGGGTGTCGTTTTTCTCATACTGATATTCTGAACAATCTGTGCTGTTGTATTTGCTGTAAAGTGTCTTTACTGTAGGCTATTTTTATTATATGTACAG